TTGTGTTCCAGAAAATAAGACGTCACTGCCAGTTGGTTCCTTTGCCTCCGTAGACAAAACCGCACTGGGCAGCTGGTGCTTCGCGTACTTTTTTTTATTAGAAATTACGCTAGGCTTACTAGCTTCTTCGGATTCCACGGCTTTCCGTTCGCCTTGGAGGGCGCCTGCTGCATTTGTAGTGCACCCATTCGTAACGCAAAATAGTGTTGGTGCTTCGATTACTGGATGAACGCACAAATATCAGAAAGTTATCCTTCATGTATTCATTTAAGGTCTTCTTAAATGCCGTGATGGATGAAAACGATACACCCACAAATTTCTCAACGAAAGCCACTTCCGAAGCCATAGCAGACGCAGTTTAAAGCCGAATGTGCGCCAATAATTTGCAAATGACGTCGATTAAAATAAATCGCAAAAAAATGACGGTAGGCGAGTGGGGTTTTCAGTCTACGCATATATGCAAAGAAGTGCAACATTTTGACGTTAAAGTTTTTATTTCGGCTGCAGGGGTTTGCAGAAAAATACATTGTGCCTCTAGCCGCGGGCGTTTTATGTCGCGTAAAACAGCAAAAAATCCAAATCGCCGATGGTCAATGACCTTGACATTTCGCTCACTTAAACAAAATGTTGCGTGCAACATGTCACGGGAAGGTGCTAATTGATTAGACTAACTTCCCATTAAAATAACAACTTCGAAAACCCCATAGTTTCGGCGAATTTAATTTGGGTGTGTCCTTCGCACTACACCATGAGAAATCGGCCCAAAAGGCATTTGACCTTGAACCTCTGTCCAGCGCCAAGCCTCAGAAATCTGCCATGGGTTTTCTGGCCATGCGTTGAAATTTCGGGTCATTTCCCCCTGGTTGTTCATTAAATTGAATAAAAATGCTCTATGGAGTATTCCGGAACTTTGGAGTGTTGGGCTCGTTGCTCAGAGGTACTTGCATCCCTTAAGTAAAGTCATATGAGTTCGTGCAGTTGCACCTAGACAACGGTACTTGCATATATGCAGGGTTTCTGCGAGTAGGTTGTGTCACTTTCGATGGAGATTTTTTAAGGTCCGTTTCAGGTAAAAATGCCTTCTTTGTCTCCGACAATGGAAGATGGATCCATCGCACAATGGACAAAGAAGGAAGGTAAAAGCAATTGGTTTTAACTTAATCGAAACTTTAGGTGACTCGGTCAGTGTTGGGGACGTTTTGTGTGAGGTTCAGACGGATAAGGCTGTTGTTGCGCTAGAGAGCGAGGAGGATGGAATACTGGCCAAGATTCTTGTGAGCAATCTGAAGTGTTTTTCAACCCTTTCGAGGTTATATAGCCTGAAAACCTATGTTCATGGTTATTAAACCGTCAGGTAATAAGGTCAGGTAGGAGTAAGTTAACTTTGTTTAATCGGATTAACACGGGGGATGTCGTACAGGAATTTACTTAGCGTAGTTGTGACCAGAAATACGGTTTTGTAATGGTTATTTCGTGATTTCGTATACTTTTAAATGGCGTTATCGCATGGATATATTAGTCCAGTGTCTGAAATACGTTTTGGTGATCGTTATATTGCCAATATTTGTCCCCGACGTGTGGTTGAATAACGACTATATAACCCTCCAGTAACCGTCAAACGTGGTTAATTGACGGTTATCACACAGTTATTTAGCTTACAAACGCTGTTCACCGTCGTTTTTAAACTCTATGTAACCACCGAAAACTGTTATTTGGACCCTTAACGATGCATGAAACTGCCAACGAACAATGTCGGATGGTTTTTAGACAATTATATAACCGTCATATAACTGGAAAACTGGAATTTCTTGGCTACTTTTTCAGATACGCGAGCCAACTTCAGGTTCTCTCTCCTGAAAGCTCTTTAGCCAACCTCTCCTCTCTACATTGATCCGATGGAGGATTCCGAAAACACAAGAATCTCTTATTTTGCTAATTTCACCAAACATCTAATGGTCATCGATCAGTGTCGTCCAACTGGGTGGGATCCCTGAAAGTTCGGTACAAATTCAGTTGCATTTCGAAGCATTCCTCGAACAGTACCGTGACCGCCAAGTTGGGTTCCAGTTGCTCAACAGTAGGGTGACCTTATTCGCATGCAGATCCTTGCGGAATTGGGCTCTTCGGCTGAAAGTTTACCTCAACACGGGATGCTTCATGCCAGAGTCTCACTTCGTTGACATAGAGCAAGCATTCGGAATTTGTCATTTGGAGGTCGTTGATAAGGGACATCAATAGACAATCTCTGGTTTGGAACAAGCGTCGTTCAAAACACAATACCGGAACTTTTGAAACTTACCGTGTCGAGAGCAAAACGTCCAGCTATTCTAAGTTTACTCGTGGGGCGTCTTTCATTGTTCGGTCGGTGACCTTACAAAGGTTCTTAGTTTTAGCTCAGTTTTGTGGGTCAAGACCCGTAAGACTTTCTTAAGTAGGTTCCAAGCTCGCGATCAGTACAATGGCATCCCCTTCCGATGTACTCTTGAAAAATGCGACTGAGGAGGGCGGTGGTGGAGTTAACTAGTCTGTTAGGAATCCGCAGTGTATATCGTCGAGGCCTGCATCCAGTCCTGGGAGGGCATTTCTAGTGATGTCTTTGTTATATTCAAGAAGCCGGATCATTATATGTGTGTAGTGTGGTGATTTCGACCGAAACTGTAATTTCGATACCGTCAACCGGAGAATAGTGGATAGCAAGTAGACCGGCCTCATTGTCGTGAAGTAGAATGTCCGTTTTTGGTCAGGGGAATCACTGGGTACCTTGACACCCTGCTTTTTGTCTGGGACGATATGCTGATACTTCCTCCAGCCGACGGTGGAAATTCACCCCGCTTTTCGCTTTCGTTGGATACTGCTTACTCGCTTTGCAATTTGCTTGTAGCCAGTTGATCAATGGGGAACCCCGAAACTGTGCCAGGGATTCACTCTTCTATCAAGAGGTGAGGCTTTATGTCAGTCCATGGGGAACCGTTAGAAAACGAGTACTGTCTGAAGAACAGGATATTAAATTCAGCTCTGAACAATGTACCTGCACACACACTGGCTGCAGTTTTGTTCCATAGGTTGCGTCTATAACCAGAGGGCCAAAAGGGAGTTACACTAAGGGCAACGAGACCTTGTACTACGAATTGTCGTATTACGTACCTTGGTACTCTGCGATATGAGTGTGAAGTCAATAAGGCGCTTCCCCAGAGGCGACTATCATGTCTGCATTCATCGAAGCAGCGATTCTGCTTTCTTCTGAAAAGAAAAATCGTTCAACTATAACACCCTTCCGGTGCCTAGCTGTCATGCCACCTAAAGGAAGCACGGGGGCTGGGATACTGCCAGGAGAGGTCGGGTTCGAACCATGGACTCGAGGATGTACAGGTTGCAAAAGTCGGCCCCCAAAACCTGCCGCAAACCCGATGTGGATTCGAACGCATCTGCTGTGCGCGGTGGTATCAGGTGTGAGACGTCTGTTTTAGACCCTGTACCCTCGGGCCAGGCCAACGTGCCTAGCTTCATGCCACCTAAAGGAAGCACGGGGGCTGGGATACTGCCAGGAGAGGTCGGGTTCGAACCATGGACTCGAGGATGTACAGGTTGCAAAAGTCGGCCCCCAAAACCTGCCGCAAACCCGATGTGGATTCGAACGCATCTGCTGTGCGCGGTGGTATCAGGTGTGAGACGTCTGTTTTAGACCCTGTACCCTCGGGCCAGGCCAACGGAGCACGTCAGCTTATCGAGTCATCCACTGCAGATAGGTTCCTCTGAAGAAACACATTCAACTCGTCCCCTGTGGGTCAGACTTTTGTGTCACAGGATACTCCCAGGGTCCATCAACAAGGCCCCGTAACCTCCTGCTGTCTTGTGAGTTAGACTTTTGGGTCGTACGATATTACAGCTGTAAGCTAATTTCGGTTGTTCTTGCCCACAGTGCACCCATCACCCAGGCATCTTGTTTCGTTTTTTAATCGTTCGTTTCACTTTGTCTGTTATCCTATCTATTTGACCCTATTCATACTCCTATTTCAGGTCCCGGAGAAGGTGCCAAACGTAAAAGTCGGCACCTTCATTGCAGTGATAGCTACGTCTGATGAAGATTGGAAAGAAGTGGCTGCATCGGCTGCGACACTATCTGCTACCACACAGCAGCCGAAAGTTTCAGTTTCACCACCAGCGGCTGTTGGAACCGCTCCCAAAGTTTTGCAACCCGATGTAGCGGCATTTGCTCCACGCGACCCGTCGCGCATTGGGCCTGCCGTACGGTTGCTCCTCCAATCACATGGATTGGATGGAGCTGCAATACCTGCCTCTGGTCCACATGGAACCCTTTTAAAAGAGTAAGGAGTCTTAGTTTAGTTACCGTCGAACTGAAACATATTGTTGGGCTGGGTTGTTTCGCCTTCTATCAGTTACCATTTACTTTCAACGACTCGCCTCTTCTATTCCCATATACTTTGGGTGATTATAGAGACGTGCTATCGTACTTGACAACTCAGCCTTCCGGTCCTCAGACTCCATCTTCTGCACCAGTCGTAGTTGCTGTTCCTCCTGGTTCAACTCCGGCGCTTTTCACTGATATTCCGTTGACCAATATGCGTATGACGATTGCAAAGCGCCTGACACAATCCAAAACGACCATCCCTCATGGTTTCGTTCGGTCTGTTGCCTCGCTGGATAAAATAATGGATATGAGAAAACAAATGAAGGACCGAGCAGGACTGAAGATTTCAGTCAATGACATGATTATCAAGGCGACTGCCCTCGGTCTAAGGGTAAGCCGGTCTTTTGTTGTCACCTCATGTCCAGTAACACGTGTAAGATCAACAATAGTTTTTTTCCCAAGCTGGGTCGCCATTCTGTTTCTCCCGGCTGTCAAAAGTGACGACAAAGTTAACATCTCACTCAGGTCTACAGTTGCTCCAATTCGATGCAATATCATCCAGTTCTGTTTACACTATTCATATATTTCGTTGTTTGATTTCATCCTGTATCATTGTTATTTACCCCCAGTTTTCGAAATCACTTCTAGGAATGATACACTGATTAGTTAGCATACCTTTCTGAAACAACAATCCATTCTCGTTTCATCCTAGCTCGTGCCTGAGCTAAACGCTATTGCTGATCCCGCAAACAATAGCTGTAGGACACAATCGTCTGTGGACATTTGCATGGCGGTAGCTACACCAGCCGGACTGATCACACCAATTCTACAAAACGTCGACCGAACACCAGTAACGCAGCTCTCTGTTATGGCCACAAACCTCGCCAAGAGAGCACGTGATGGCAAACTTCAGTTGCATGAATTTCAGGGTGGATCGTTCACGTATGTTTAACGGAGAGATACGTCAATGGTTTTGCGACGAGTACTTTATTTCTCCTAGGTATTCATATTTGTAATTTTTGTTTTCACAGACCTTCCCACGTGACCACACACGCTTGAATCTTTAGCATGAGGTTCCTTCAATGCTAGAACGGTTCAGTGAATAATGTCCAAATGACTGACCGAAAAGTCCATATTTCGAATGTAACCTTGTCTTTTCTATTGCTCCTGGCATTTTGTCAGTCATCCTCCCCGGGAACCACAGCTAAACAACTCGGCTTTGCATTTACTAGTGGGTGTACAACGTTCTACGTTTCACAGTACAATACCACCTGGACAAAGGTAGAATTTTATGTCTATCTGAGTGGACAACACGTCGAAAATGTATTGTTTCTTCGGTTTTCTTCACATGTCTCATAACAGCCGTTTGTAAGCTTGTGAGTATTCGTAGTGAATTCATCCGGACAACCAGAAGTTTAGTCCTGCAATCACCGTCGTGGTCAAATCTCGTAGCTCAGTTGAGTAGGTACTTTTCACATAGTATTTTCCGGGTCCCATTTGTCATCCGATTCAAAAGGATTTTTAAAAAAATAGTGACGCTGTCTCAGAATAAATAAGCCATAAATCGAAGGGTGTGTCCATTTTTGTGGTAGGAGGGGCTGTTTTTCTAATTCATGTCAGAGCACATAAGAGGGAACGTAACTTGTCAGAAAAACAGGTATATTAAGAAAACTGTCATAAGGTTCACAGTTTCCTCGTTGTAACTGTCATAGACAGAGATCGTTTCACCCTACAGAACTCCATGTTAAGCATCTTTCACCTAGATTAAAGACGCTAGCGTTCTCAAACAAGTGATCATAGTTTAGACATGAAATTGGTCAGACGAGAATCACAAAATAGGTTTTTTACGAGGTCTGCGACTTGTGGCAGCCCCATGTAGACAAACCTTGGGTTTACAAGTGAGTCTTCACATTTCACTACATCCCGAAGCGGCTGTTACAGTGATGTTGCGTCCGGCCAAGGTAAGAGCTCTTAGTGAGAGGGTGTTAAAGTATAATTTTGTTAGGATGAGTTGAGGGCGACAGCTCTAATATGCGTGGTGTAGTTGTTGTATGCGGGAACAGGTCTTCTTTTCCAAATTCTGTAACTGCTGATGTAACTGTTTCCTATTCTTTTTTAAACTGATAGTCACCAAGTTACTATGTCCTTATCCTCATTTCGTGACGCTATTTTTACTCTTTCTCCTATTTCTACTCATTCTGTAGAATCTCCAACTTGGGGATGTTTGGCATCCGTGAATTCACTGCAATTATCAACCCCCCGCAAGTGGCAATTATGGCGGTCGGATCGGGATTTCCTAAACCGGTCGACACGTCACCAACACTACCGAACAAGGTGCTGTTTAGCAATCAGATGTCAATGACTCTATCGATCGATTCACGTTTTGTCGATCAGTCCGCGGCGGGACGGTTCTTATCGTACGTGAGCCGACTCCTGAGCGAACATCCGGAACTACTACTGGCAGATGATCCGGTAGCTACGGCCGCTTTGAGAACAGGCAGTGGGAATGTCTTTGACGAGTTTGATATGCTGCTCCTGTCCTTGAGCACCGAAACTACGGTACGCGCAGCATCGGCTCCCTGAATTTGCCTCCTCCAAACAGTACTGCTTTTACTTCTCATACATGGGTTGATGGGATTGCTTTCAGCATTCCCCAGTTCATGTCTGCATACCTTCACACTGGATTGGTAACCAGATACATTGTCACTTCAATATTAGTTATTTGTAGTCGTTCTCATGCACTTCTTCAGAAACTAATGGGGGCTAGTATCACTTAAGTGGAAGTAAAAACTTATTTAAACAATGGGCAACAGAAACCAACGATAATCCTGGTATTAATAAAATAGATGCCGCCTCATGGAGCTGTCGACTATTCTTTCGTCAAAACACTGCGGTGTCAGGCCTAAGGTATAATAATCTTGACGTCCAAGATGACGTGGGTAATCTTTCGCGAAGATGTTCAAGCTGTGCGAAATCCTAGCAAATCCTGCGTACAATGGTTACTTCCCGACATGTGCACTTTCATTTCGCGTTGGATATTGGTGAAGTGGAGGAAAATGCTGCAGTCCAAAGTGACCAATTTCATTCATGGTTCGGATGGTGCATTGAGCACAGACGCCGTTTCTGCCTAACGCATAAGCTGAACGCCCGACAAAAGCCATCCTGATTGGGATTAACCGGGTATGTGGCAAGACTCGGTCGCCCAATGTTAACACTCCTAACCGTAAAACCATATGCTCACCGACCTTAATTATGCGCACGGCGAACGTGAATCCAGTGGTTTTCCTGGATGCATTCGTGAGGGGCCTGACTACGTTAGAACAGTGGGTTACTTGTCCTCGACATTTCATGATCTCTAAAGAGGGTTGATAACATTTAAAACTTGGTATCCTCTAGTACAAATCCGGTGACCTTTGAACATCATCTACCGGGAAAGGAGGATTAATAAATTGGAAGATGTTTGTCACCAATCGAATGGGCATCGTCTGAGAGGTTTGGCAAACTGGCGGATTTACTGCTGGCAACGTTTCGCTTTTGACAAAAGCTTCGTCAGGCCAAGTGAACGTCAGACTGACATCTAGCACTGGTCAATACGGCTAGACTTGGGGAATCTCACTGATTGGTTCTCTAACTGACTTAAAACCCAATCATTCCGGTAACTTATCCATTTGACTTAAGGATGTTTTTGAGTCAAAAGCGAAACTTTGCCCAGCAGTAAATTCACCGGCTGTTTACCAAACCCCTCTGAAACGAAAATCGAGAAACGCCATCATTACCTCTCCACATGTCGCTGGATCACTGTATTCAGTTTTGTTTTACATTACAAGTTTCCACCTGTGGTTTGTTGAAATCGGTCCCAGCTCGGTTGGCATAGAAATGGAAAATAGGATGACTCAAGTTTAGGATAACCCTATGATGTCTTCTTGTCGAAGGAGGCTTCGGTGATTTTTCGGCTTCGTTGTTCAGTTCGCCACTTTTTAACGGGTGTTTTGATTGGTTCTTCCCTCCACTTCCAGAACAGCAAAATTATGCAATCCTGTCCGAATGTCCCAACTTCTTGTCTCTCGTGCCAGCAAGTAATGATATTAAGTATTCCAACTCCTGGACGTAATTATCTCATCTTATCATCATCATCCGTATTGTCAGTTGGATCGTTTTTCAATGTGACACTGAAACAGCGATGCCTGACTGATATTGAGTTCTGTATGGGTGTAACGTATATACTAATTACCAGTTTGATAGGTCGTTATGAAAGTTCTGATCACTACTGTTTGTATAGCCCCATCAATGTTTCCACGTGAAATGGGCTTCAACTCAAAGTTAGACACACTGAGTTTGTGTAGTACTGTTTTTCCCAGTTCTTGGTTAATATTGCTTTGTCTACTGTTTGAACGCTCCTCACACCTCACTGATTTTTGGTGGCGCCTCAAATTTGATGCGCTGACACCGGTTACGGTATGCTAAATTAGCGAGACTGAATGTTCAATTAAACTCTTGTGTACACCCGGACAACGGGGAACCCAGTAGTGTCAGACCGTCGTTAAAAGGGTGGAGTATAAGAAGCACAACGCAATTCCTCACCATCTACACCTTTTGCATCTCAGGTAACAAGTTCTGAAGCTCCACTTTTTCAACTTTAATTCAGCGTTTTAATTGCCATTATACGCGCCAGAATTGTTCGTGTATGCAACACTTTACGATAATTCATAGGGTGAGATGATAAAAGGGAAGGATTTATGCTAGCCGGTTGGTCTTATCGCACAAAGTCCTGTGATTTTTCTAACAGTGATCGAATGCCCATAAGGCTCTCTGTGATCTGTCTTGTTAGCTCACTGTGCGAAGCATTCGTGAGTGTCGATCATTCAGCCGTAGCACTCTTTGAGTGCCTAGCTGCCACAACACCCTAAAGAAGCACGAGGGCTGGAATACTGCCAGGTTACCCAAGCCTAGACAGGGGAAGTCGGGAGGCAGGGGTCGGGTTCGAACCACGGACCTTCCGGTCAGTAAATTCGAGCTCTTACCACCGTGAGCGTACTAAAACGTCAAAACCATTGTAATACACTATCAACCCTGATGTTTTCTTACATATCGTGTCCGTTCAACACACCAGTCAAGCCGTTTCCTCAGTGGTTTCTCTGAATTCCGATGTTTCTTCCTCCCGACCTGCGTCACACCTGGGAGGTGCATCTGGTTCGATCCACCGGTCTTGTCACTGTTTGCATCTGATCTCAGGGAACACGGATGGTAATTAAATTTGTTGCGAGGTGTACATCCATGGGAAGCTCCAAAATCCTCACTGGAAGTTCAAGTAACCTCGTTGAGATTCCTTTTCCAACTAATTTCAGCAAAGTGCTCTCAGTTAATACACTTATTTGCAAATCAATTTGGTTTTCACAGAGATTCAACTGAATCTCTCGTTTATGATATTCTACAACTAAATGTGCTGCACACAGGCCGCCTCATGATTCACTTGGCAGCCATTCAGTTGTAGAGTATCATAAACGAGAGATTCAGTTGAGTCTCCCGTGAAAACCAGATTGATTTGCAAATGAGTGTATTTCTCGAAAACAGTCCAATTTGAGTTCAAGCAGAACAAGACGTTGACGGAAACTCGGGGACTGCGCCTACCTGATGAGCCCAAAGAAGGGCGAAACCGCTCGTGGGTTGTCGAAGAGTTTTCAGCAACCTTGTGAGTAGTTTTCTTTATGTTCTCAGTTAAACTCTAGATAAAATTTCTGATCCAAATATCATACAGTGGTAGCTCTCTGTCGAGGAACGTCCATCTACTTTGGCTGTGGGATATGCAGGTACACAGTGATAGTTCAAGAAAAGTCAGACATCAAAGACAAGTTCGTAGTGATTGTATCCCGAGTAATGGAAGAAGTGATCCAATTTTTTATCATCCAAGCATTCAGCGTTTACTTCACTTTTGTGGTTGTTTCAGTGGAAGTTCCCTTTCCATGTTTAGAGGGAGTGGGTTTAACAAGAAACAAACTCATTATCATCAGCTGTAATAACCGCGTACTCGTCGTACAGTGGTTATAGCTGCCGCAATTTCGTTCACCAGTGATTTGGGGGAGGGGGTGGGTAGCTGCGCATTGCACGCGCGAGCTGGTAAATTGGTGCATAAATCCAGCACTGTCATTGGGCTGTCAAGTGGGGGGTGGAAAAGGAGTTATGCGTTGAAGGCAGTAACTTTGATGCACGAGCGCCATTGAGGGCGCGACTGGGCCATGTCTGATGATGTTTCTAGCCATTGATGTGGCCCGTCTCGGGGTCCCCATCCAGGAAGATGGCAGTGACCAGCGTAGCTGAGTTTGCTGGTAGTGGCTTTCATACTTCGCTGCCAAGTCATTGTTTGACCGCCTCTGGCTCTCTTCCACCCTTC